CCACCACCACCACCGACCACCAACCGACCGACCAACCAACCAACCATCCAACCAACCGACCGACCGACCGACCAACCAACCAACCAACCAACCGACCGACCAACCAACCAACCAACCAACCAACCAACCAACCAACCGACCGACCAACCAACCAACCAACCGACCAACCTGAGACATGTTCTTGTGCAAATAGAACGTTCAAAACGTACAGACCAGCTTTCGCAGGCTTGAACCCAATCTTACTCACACCATACTTCCCACCATTAAATTCCCCATTATCATTAGCATAATTAATGACGTCATCACTGTAATTAATGACGTCATCGTCATTAATTCCATTGTCATAATCATCATTGTTGTTATCATCGCTGCAGTTCATTTGTACCTTGCTCGGCCCGTCAATGCTAATGTTCAGTCCGCCAGTTCCTATGATGATGACGATGACGAAGATGATGACGATGATGATGACGATGACGATGATGATGACGATGATGATGACGATGATGATGACGATGATGATGACGATGATGATTACGAAGATGAGGATGATGATGATGATGACGACAACAAAGAACATTAAAAATGACAGCAAATGATATCTAGTCAGTCGATCAAAGAACCAACAGACAGAAAAAACAAACAGACCAACCAGCATTCCTATAATCTATAATGAAATAGTTCCACTCTTCAGTTCGAGGGCGGACCAATCCAGGACCTCGAACTTTGACCTTGTTGACGTCAGTGCACGTGCACTGGTTGCACTTGATGTACTTCTTAATAGGTGGCCTAGATATGGAACGACCCGACCTAAATAACTCGAACGTGTATTCGCCTTCAGTTTTCGGCGAGAATAGCGCGCCTGTGAGTTGGTCAGTTTGTTTATTCGTACATTTGTTCATTCATTTGTCTACTCATTCATTCATTCATTCATTCATTCATTTATTCATTCATTCATTCATTCATTCATTCATTCATTCATTCATCCAACAATTAATTAATCCATCAATAAACCGATCGGCCAATCAGAACGCGAGCTCTCCCACCCTCACCGAGTTTCCCTCCAGTCATAATCCTCAACGGAACGTTTTGTTTCAATCCTGTGCTGGCTGACGTCACAGAGCACGTGATCGCTTGAAGATCCTTAACATTGAAGGTGAGGTCAAGGTCCACCGGCTCTTTGTTGTCACGTGAGCCAATGTACATCTCTGCTAGGGTCAGATCCCTACCTTCATGATGGAAAGATAGATTAATAAATTATTGAATGAATGAATGAATGAATGAATCAATCAATCAATCAATCATTGAATCAATCAATCAATCTATTGAAAGATGGATATGTGAATTGAAATTAGCGATCGTATGAATCCAACAAACAAACAAAAAAAGCAAACAATGAACAAATAAAAAACATCAACAACAACAGCAACTAACTCGAAGGTAAAATGCGGGCAGTGAAAGGCGAACCCTGGATGTGATGATGCCCGTAAAAAATGGATAGGGAGTAGGTACCGGCTGTGGAGGGCAGGTAGGTGACGTTCAGCAAGCCATCTCTCGCCTCTTCGACATCGATCGGACATTTCGATGGACCATCTATTGAAACTGCTAGTCCAGCTTGCGTGGTGATAATGATGATGGTGGTGCGAGTGAAAGTAATGCTGCTGATGATGATGACGATGATGATGGTGGTAATGATGGTGATGGTGATATTGGTGATGAATAAATGATGAACAATTCCATAGCGAATTATTTCTACAAAATCCCTCAAAACACTCACCAAAATCCACATCACCAGGAATGGAAATAGCGAACCGACAAACCGCGCCGGAAACACCGGCAACCAAACCCGGACCGACGGCCTTGACCTTATTAATAATCGAAGGTCGTTCCACTTTGAACTCGAGGGGGGAACAGCCCTGCAGTGGTTGATCGTTGTAGTCGATAGACAGGGTGTATAAGCCTTCTTTGTACGGCAGGTAACTGATTGTTACCGTTCCATCCTGGTTATTTATAACTTCGGGGATTTCCGTGATCCCATTCGGAGTAGTAATCCGAGCTGTTCGTCGATTGTTCGAGTGGGATTGGCGATGATGATGATGATGATGATGATAATGGTGGTGATGACAGTGATGATGATGATGATGTTGGTCTGATGTGATTGCTGTTATTGCCGGCATGCTATATGATTTAGTATCATCTTTTCGAGTTTGACAACAATAAATAACATAGGGCTATCAAACTTCATCATCATCATCATCCACATCATTATCATCATCACTACTATATTGACCATCATAACCATCACCAGCATCATCATCACCAACATCAACATCCCCATCATTATCATCATCACTACTATATTCACAATCATAACCATCACCATCATCACCACCATCATCATCACCATCACCACCACCACCCCCATCATCATCATCATCATCACCGTCATCATCATCATCATCATCACAAACCTTGTACAAACCCAATAACCGGACCAACGGGTATGTTGAAGACGAGGCGGTCGAACATCACCAGACTGACGTTGGTGCCATCAAGATAACCATTCGTCTGATGGTGATGATGATGATGGCCGTTTGATAGCTGCCTGTTGATGCGTGTCGTGGTAGTTGTAGTCGTTGAAGTTGCTGTCGTTGCGTCGATGTTATCAATGTTGTTGTTGTTGTTGAGAGAGATCAGTTGTTGTATAGCTGCCTCCTTCATAGGTTGAAAGACAAGGAATGAATGAATGAATGAATGAATGAATGAATGAAGGAATGAAGAAATGAATGAATGAATGAGCGATTTAATGGACGAATAAATGAAATAATTACCCGCTCTTTTTGCCAAGATTTAAATCTGTCCCTAGAATAGCCCTTCAAGTGACAAAGTAAGTGAATGAATGAACGAGGAAGTAAATGAATGAATGAAAAAAAGAATGTATGCATGTATGAAATAATAATAAATGAATGAATGAATAAATGAACGAATGAATAAATGAATATATGAACGAATGAATAAATGAATATATGAATGAATGAATAAATGAATGAATGAATGAATAAATGATTGAATGAATGAATGAATAAATGATTGAATGAATGAATGAATAAATGAATGAATAAAAGAATGAACGACAACATGCAAGTTGAAACCCGAAAAAATGTAAACCAATTGTTACGAGCATCGCAATGGAACATCGCCATCATCATCACCACCACCACGATCATCATTATCATAACCCACCTCCTGCACGAAGGATAACCCCGTGACCTCCTGACCTCCAAACTGCACGCGACCTCTGTATACATCCTCTTCTGGCAGCTGGTACAAAATCTCGCAAACCCCTAAATAATTATTATTATTATTATAAATATATTATAACATTATTATTATTATTATAAATATATTATAACATCATTATTAATATTTTGACATCCTACCTTCAGAATTGTTCTCTAAAATTTCTGCGCCAACATCGCCGACTCGATCGCCCCTCAGTGAGAAAGTGGTACGACCCAGGCCGGCTTTCGAATGATCAATCGGTATCCGGTAGTCTTCTAGAATCGGTATTACAGGCTGTATTTTGTCGATACCTATGATATTCATTATATATAAAGTTATTGTCAAAATGACATTAAAACCATTATCCAACTCATCACCTAACAACTTGACAAGGTTGGCGTCACCAGATGGCAGAACGGGGATTCTCAACGGTGACCCGATGACGTGTTCTCCACCGTACGTCACATAGACGATCACGTGGCCTACTCTCATTGGCTGAAATTCGATTCTATATTTAGACTGGCCCAACGGAGTGATGCGATTGGCCAGTTCCTCTCCCAGGTGATCCTAAAAAAGTAGGATAGGTTAATGAATATTTAATAGGACGTAACGCTAATGATAGGAGCCACAGCAGAAGAGACCTCAACAGAAGCGTTCAAATCAGCCTCCCCAGCCTCACTGACGTCAACATCCAGAGTAGTTGTTAACGTTGCGAATGTTGTCGTTGATGGCGCGATCGTTGTTGTTGTTGTTGTTGCGTGGTTGTTGTTGTTGATGTTGTTGCCAGTGAGGGACATCTTGACTTTAGAGGCGTCGAATGCCGGCATCACCTGCACTTTGCTGCTTTGCAACATCAGTTTCGTTCGTTATAAAATTATAACATCATTATCATCACGTCCAGCTTTATAATTATCATCATCAGCATTACCAATTTCACCGGGTAAATAAAATCTGACCTTGATTTGACCTTTTGACCTCCGTAGTATACATCGATGCAGTACAAGCCCTCTTCAGATGGCGCGAAAACGACCTCGAAAAGACCAGGAGCAAGTGAGGTTATTGCTAGATCACGTGATGAACCTACGAATGAAGGAATGAATAAATAAATTAATTGATTGATGGATGGAAAGATGATTGAATAAATAAACATACAGACGGATGGATTAACAAATGGATGGATGAATGAGTAAACGAATGAGCAGACCTACCATGAATGTCAGTAATGACAGCCTTGAGATCCGACCTACCGCATGACTTAGTGTCGACCTTGAACTTCGAAGTTTGACCTTTTTTGACCTGGAGGTTGTCCAGGTCGAAGAATTTGATTTTTGAGATGTCTACATCGTCCTTTATCTCGACTCGATATGGACTTTCTGTGGTCGTTGTTGTAGTTGTGACGACGGTAGCGGTGAGGATGACGACGAAGACGATGATAGTGGTGGTGATGATGATGATGGTGACGATGGTGATGATGAAGAAGATGAGTATGATAAGGAAGAAATGGTAGTGATTAGAGCATTCAACTGTATGACAACATTGACAATGAAGATAGCAATGATGAAGAACAAAATCATTAAAACATCAACAGTGACGACGATGACGATGAAATAACAGTCACCATCAACATGTTGGCCGGCAAATGTAACTTCCACATTGTACGTGCCCCTAACTTTAGGGATGTACTCAACCGAGCAAGTGCCATCTCCATTGTCTCGACAGGT